ATTTAAAAAACAACCACAGTTCGTCAACAGCCTCATCATATCACACATTAAAATACATCACAATTGCAATACTTTAAAACATTCTAAAATTAATTTTTAAAAATTATGCAACTTCTGTTGTGCATGCTGTGCTAATTCTGTACCATTTTCGTTATTTTTTCTTAGGCTATTCTTATGTTCGTATATTCTTTTCCTTAGATATTGTCCTGTTTGACCTATGTATGTGTTATCACAATTCAAACAGTTTATTTTGTATTATTACATTGGGCGTGTCTAACTTGTCAATCCTAGGTTTAAATTTTGTGAAACATTCATTTGCTAAGGTGCTTTTAGTTTTTTCTGCTATGTTGATATTATGTGGTTTGAATATGTTTTTAATTTTTGTGTTAATTTCCGGAATATATGGTAATGATATATACTTGATATCACCTTCCCTTCTTTTATTTATGTTTTTCCATTTAGTTGAATTGTATATTTTATTTATCCTTTGCTTTATGATTGGTTCGAAAAATGACCTTGGATAGTTGTTTATTAACATTTTCGTTATTTTTTCTTAGGCTATACTTATGTTCGTATATTCTTTTCTTTAGATATTGTCCTGTTTGACCCATGTACGTGTTATCACAATTCAAACAGTCTATTTTGTAAATTACATTAGGCGTGTCTAACTTGTCAATCCTAGGTTTAAATTTTGTGAAACATTCATTTGCTAAGGTGTTTTTAGTTTTTTCTGCTATGTTGATATTTTGTGGTTGGAATATATTTTTTATTTTTGTGTTAATTTCCGGAATATATGGTAATGATATATACTTGATATCACCTTCTCTTATTTTATTTATGTTTTTCTATTTAGTTGAATTGTATATTATATTTATCCTTTGCTTTAAGATTCGTTCGAAAAATACACCGAAACGTATTTTAATTGATAAATAGAGACAATAAATAACTGAAACCCAGGAATTATTTTTTATTTGAAATTGAAACATAGTCAGGAAAGTATATACAGTATTATCTTACTCAAAAAATGTCTATTTCTTGTGCAATCCATTTTTTATTAAATTAAATATAATCGTGAAGCCACTTCTGCTGTTTTGCTTGATCTAGCCATGGGGCTCAATTGCGTCCCAGCTCCGTTGCATTAAATTATTATTTGACCTATTAGTTTAAATTAATTGTTGGCAATTTTAAATCCCATTAATGTTGCTTTCAGATGCAAATGTTTTGCACCTATTTTTTGCAAATTATTCCTTCAAAAGGGCAATTGTAAAACCGTTTATACGATCTACTAGTTTTGAAAAATCGATGGATTAGGTTTCAATGTGTGCCAATAATTATCACATTGGTGAATAATCAATTGTCTCGTTATTGATATAAATTGTGCAGTATGCTACTGCAAATTTAATAGATAATTAAATAATATTCTCAGGGAGAAGAATATTTCTATTCCTTGACTATTGTTCTACTTCCATGTCTACGACTACCAACATCCATGTCTTGATCGGCGATGTGCAAAGTAGTTTATTCACAAAAAAAACGCATTTGCTTCTTTGCTTAAAGTTAAAATATAATACAATACTTTTCAACTGTTTGCCAATTCAAACTCAGTGTCTGGTACTTGATTATTTCGTCACTGCCACATTTTGGTAGTTCTTTTGTTTCTAACAATTGTTTCAAAAATTGCGTTTAAATGTTCGTATTCTAAATGAATTTAGCGAAGGATAGTCGAAGCCAATCAAAAGTAAAGTTCTGTATTCGCTCAAAGTACAGTATTTAAGCGTTCAACATTTTTATTTTACTAGTTTTTTTCTAGTACCTTAAGAACTCAAATGTAAGAATATTTTGAAATCATGCAAATTTTGCTGGTTGATTTCAGAAGTTTATCATATCATGAACTATAATACATGTATTATGTACATTTTGTCACATCTGTTTTAAAAAGAACTCTGAGCCCCTAATTCCAGTGGAAGCGTTTTATTCTTGTGAATTTTCCTTAAACTTTGTTCTGTTTGTGATTATTCTCTTTGACTTGCCTTTTCTACCAACTTTTATTTTCTTATGATTTCGAAACGCGGGAATGTATAAATAATGATAAATATAAAAATACGGAGTAATTTAAATTTTTTAAATGTTTTTCATTGGATGCGTACTTGGAATTAGTCTTAGTCTTCTGTTACGATAAAAATATATAAAAGTTTGTTTGGTTTTTTTTTCTAATATAAAAAAACTTACTATTGCGAATTACTTTTAAATAACTTCACAATATATTAACAGATCATTAGTGCTTTTAAACATTCTAACAGAAAATTCTTTGACGAGGACTTTGCTTAATAAATCGTTCGTCGCTAATCCTTCATTGAATAAGCTAGAATTTGATTAGGAACTACGATCGGTTTGATTAATTTGCTGTCAATTCAATATTTCAATAATACAATTATTATCGTTATTTAGTCTGTTAATAAAAATACATTCACCATTTCGGAATAGATCTATTAGCAACCCAAATATCAATTTCTTGTGTATCAATCAATCCAACGCGCTTTCACTGCGTCGAAGTTAATTAAAAGTGCAGATATACTTATCATGGTTATTTGCTTGTTTTTTATTTACATAACGTGGAAAGTAACTTTACCGAAATTTACGACAAGCGTGAATAGTAACACTTAACCAACACAAATCTAATTATTAAATCTGCGAAAAAATATGGAAAATAAAATAAATACATTAGCGCACTTATCAACTGCAGCTTTATGTATCACTGTGATGTTCATAAAGGAATTTTTATATTTTACTGTCAGAGTTTTTCACTTTTCAAACTCATTTCAGTTGTTACTAGCAATTTACTTTCCAGCTTATTACAAAATAGTAATTAACAATATTAAATAATTTCTTGGGTAATTGGTGCTTAAAAGAGAAACATGTTCCGTTACGTATATATTATTTCCTTATCTGAACTGCAACAGTTGGTTCTAATGTACTAGCAGACTGACCAAAGCAATGCGATTCCATTTAGTAGAAATTACAAAATTTCATTAATTGTTCTACTAATTTTAAAATATTCCATCTTGAAAAAGCGGGAAGGCGAAGGTTTGTGGCGCTTTCAGAAGAACTAGGAAGCCATACTGATCAAGTTTCGTGATCAAACGTAATTCGCTACCTGTCAGCCACATAACAAATTTAATGTATTTGTGCCAATTAGATTTATTGTTAAATTCGTAATATTTTTTTCTGGCGATTTAAAGGTCTTGCGTGAAATATTCAATATGCTATTATTTATTGACAGGCACCTGCAATAAAAAATAATCTAAAAAAATAGATGTTTTCTGTATTGTGGTTGTTTAAAGGACAAGGTCTGGAAAAGTTATTCATTATTCATTATTCAAAAGTTACTTTGAAAAGCATTAATGTGAAATAGGAGCAATGTGGAAAATTGTCTCAAAATGAGTCTCGTCTTTACTGACAAGATTCCACATTTAACACTTATTATGAGCTATTTATGGCACAACAGGTTACTTTGTCTTTTGACAAATGTGTGCTAAAATTTGATTCAAATTTTGTTTTAGTAAGTATGGTTATTTTAACTTTATCTAACTTTAACACTGCTAGTGGAATGCAATTGTCAAATACTGAAAAAGTTTAAAACAAGTAAAAATTTAAAAAATTCCAAGTGATATGTGAGAAACAAAAACATAAAAAAAACCGAACGTTCCGCTGAACTATTCTCATAATAAGTAGGACTAACCACGTTTACGAACCAGCTAAACCACCCACACACACTAGAAAAATGCCTTACGATTGCATTACATATTTAAAACCATATTTAAAGTTGCCACCCTGTATGTAGGTATACGCGAAATCACTCGAAGGATGCTGATGAATTATTGGTCTGGAATAATTTACGACAATCTGTTTTGGTTAATCCTTGTAAAACTGTCGTATAAACGGGATAAAAATATTATCTGGAATTTAATTTAAATATTTAACGATAAAACCTAAATTCCTTTAAAAACATTCCATAATAATGTCGTATTTTATAGTCAATGTCTGCATTTCAACTTCTCTTTCTTGGATATCTACATCTTCAAGGTGACTGACATAAAAGAACATTTTGCAACAATTTACGTAAATTGTCTGATCAAAATATATAATCATGTGAGAATATAAACAAATTTAGGCCAACGTTTAACTATATTGTTTACCATTTAACGACGTGGATTGTCCAATAAACCCAGCATTTAACATCGCCTTTATTTTATTATGGCTTCGTGGAAAATTTCTTTACTTAT